ATTTTAGGGACTTTGATTAGGTTCATTTGGTTATTATATCATGAAAAATTGTTAAAGTCTAGATACAAAGGATCCAGTAAGCTAGGCAAAATGGAAGAAAACCAAACTCACAGCCATGGAGTCAATTCTGATTCATGGTGACCCTATAGGACATGGGGCAGAATTACCCCTGTGGGTTTCTGAGACTAATTTTGGGAGTAGAAAACCCTCTTTTTTCTCCAGCAGAGCACCTAGTGGTTTCAAACTGTAGACCTTTTGCATCATAGCCAACCAAAGAGCTTGGAATTTCTCTTTGAGTGCAGTGGCAAGCCACTTGAAGGGCAAGAACATGCAAAATTTTGATCAAGAAAGACATGATCATGGAGTTTGTAGGGCAATAAACATAATGCCAAAAATATGACTTCAGGGTGTACATGAGCTTGAAGCTTAAAGCAAAAAAAAAGTAATAAAGATATCATTGTGGTAATCTGGGTTAGTAAAGTGGCAGCAGATAGAGAAGAGAGGAAAGAATTTTAAAGATCAGAGGAACAAGGGTACTAGAGATAAGATTGGCTGTGAAGGACAAGAAAGACAAAGGAGCATTAAAAGGTAGAGTGACGCTCAGAAAAACTCAAAAACATAAACTAATTTTAGGAAAGTTTATTACTTCAGTTTTGGGTATGCTGAATTGGAGCCAATATGATGTCATTCATTACACAAGTTAGTTCCTAATGGAGAAAGTAGAGATGAGAATATCCATTTAGTGAACATATACACAACATATTAGATACTATAGAATCTACAGACTCTTATCCATATACTAGGAACAGTTAGAGAAATAAAAGAAGTAGCCAGAGCTCTGCCCCCAAGAGTTTACAACCCCCACTAGTTTATTAAATGGTAGAGTAGGTTTTATAGTCCTATCAGAAACTTGAAAAGAGAGAAATAAATGTAGGTCAGAATTACCACTGAAGACTTCTTGAAAGAGATGGCATTTTAGTCTGAGACAAAGAAAAGCCTGCATGACTTATGGAGCATCTAACAATGGTGTCAAATAATTATGCACTATAAGCACAGTCACCACTCACCTGTCAGTGGAGATTTGTGCGTTACTATGATGGCTGAGTAGACTTCAGTGGTGTTTCCAAACTAAGAAGAAGTGAGAAGGCCTGCCTGTTGAGCTACATTCAGAAATTAGCCAATGGGGACCCTTTGGATCCCAACTGTCCAGTCTTGTGGATGGCGTTACAATGAGTAAGCGTTGGACAACTAAACAGCAGCTAACAATCACAGGCTGACCCACTTGGTAGCATTTTTCTATGCCTTCTCTATCTGGTTATATAACTCTGTTTCTAATAGAGTTATATTACAGCATCTCTACTGCATCTTACAGCATCTCTACCAAACAACATACTTAATTATCTTAGTGTGTTCATCCAGGTTGACAAGAGAAAAAACTCCAGAGACACTCATATTTATATAAGAGAGAGCTTTATATCAACGAATAATTGTATATTAAGAAAATATCCCAGCCCAGTCCAGATCAAGTCCAGAAGTCTGATGTTAGCCCATATGTCTGAAACCAGTCTATAAAATCCTATTCAGACTTACGCAACACATGCAATGATGTTGAATGCAGGAAGACCATAGGCCAGTAGGTGGAGAGTCTGGTGGAAGCATCTCAGCGCTGCCACAGCTCTGGTTGCCATCAGTATAGCTTCATGTGGATTGTCAACAGAAAGTGAAGCAGGGAGAAAGCGTCCCACCTCCAGGGAGGAAGACAGGAGTTCCCAGAATCCCCAGTGGAAGGCCATGCCCGCACAGAGACATTATTGGCTATGACCTGATTGACAGGCTAGACTCCACCCCTGCGCTCATGTTGACCAGAGATTATGTAACTGCCTCACTTGGCTTGTGATGTGAGGTAAGTAAAGGAAATAAAATATTGAGTTGTCTTAAAGGGTGAAATAAATAACTGATATAAAAATTTCATTCACTTTTAACAGGCATTGAATATGGTGAATGGGAGTATGGAGGACCACAAGGAGGGAGAGAGAAATGAGAGAAGGTAGTGGGGTAGAATATGGGTTGATGGGGTTGATGGGAGGTTTGAACTGTTGAATACAAAGGTTATGATCTGAAATGTTAATTCCCTGAAATATAATAAAGTATTTATTCTGCAGAGCATTAGACTGGGTTGAGAGGAGGGGGAACAGAACATTTAAAAAAATTACTACGGTACAACTCCTCCCTCAAGGAGCTATATTTTGATAGAGATAATCATCTCAATATAGCACAAATGATCAAAAGGGAGGCAAAGTCATTTCTGAAAATTGTAAGTTGAAACCTTTCTCATATGGTACAAAAGAGTCACTTGTAAACTCTGTTCCAATTGACAGGGCTCAAAAAGTACCAGTTGGCAAGTGATGTAAAATGATGTGGGGCTTATCAGTTTAAGGAAACTACTTTACAAGCTGTATTCTGCATTTCTAAAATAAAGCATTTATTTTTCAGTCAATTTCAATTTGAATGAAAAGGTAAATAAAAAGCTAATTTTAGCTTAAAACTTAATTTCTGATGGTGTCATGATTCAAATGATCAAAAATAGTCTTTTAAAACCATAAAACATTCCCTTTAATTATAATATTGCAAGTGAGGACTTGGATGAAAGTAGGAAAGAAAGAGAATTCAGTAGCTTTTTGGCTGGAAAGGTTTGGCATTCTTCCATAACTTGCCTGCTACAAGAGCCAGAATTTGATTCAGGAAGAGCTGAAAGCTTCTCCATGCTGCTCCGGTGGCCCAGAGATTCTGGCTTTGGAGAACACCATCTGGACCAGTGTGAATGACAAAGTCAAACCTCCCACATGCATTTGCCTGGCTGGGCAAATCAACTTCAGAGCAAGGGCACAGGCTACCGCTTGGGTTTCATCAGCTTTCGTCTAAGGTGCCACTGGTGTATGGATTGTTCTAAGGTGCCACTGCATGTCAAAGAGAATAAGGCATTTTTTCCTGTTGCTGTAGATTACATGTAGTCCAATTGTGAATTGCTTTTTATCTAGTTCCTTGGCAGCTCTCAATAATGAGTTTCCTGTATCATCTCTGTGAATCCAGGAGCTTTCCTTGTATGTAAACCCTAAGAGGTGGTTTTAGCAGAATAGGGGGTTTTTCTTCCCCTTGTTTGTTTTTGTGATTGTTTGATAAATGGATGCAAATGTGGCTAGTGAGTCTTAACTGAATTCCAGGGACTATAATGTATCTCAATCTTGGTTATCACTTTAGTCTGCCAGTTTTTAGTGATATCTTCTTCTCTGTTTCATTACCTTTGGCAAAATTAAAAATTCTGGAATTGTAGCAATAGATTTTATAACCAAATACTGTAGTCTTAAACTTTTATGCTAATTTATGCTGCCTTGTTCCAGGCCTACAAGAAAATCTGAAGACTATCTCTAATACCATTGTGAAATCTTTTTTTTTTTTTGGTCTACATACAACCAAAAGCTGAGAAAGAAAGAATTACAGTTGCCTGTCCAGTCCAATGGATATCCGTTGTTGATGCTTTCTTGTGTAACAAAAATAACATTTTCCCTTTCCCCCTCCATCTTAATAAGTGAATACAGATCCACTCCAGCATAAAGCAAAGATGGTGCTAGTGATCAAAAGTGATAACATACAATCTGCTCATTTGATCTATTTCCAAAAATAAATCTTCTTAAACCAGTTGCTCTTCAATTGATTCCTACTCGTGGCAACCCCATGTGTGTCTGTGTAGAATTGTGCTCCTCAGGGCTTTAATTACTGATTTATCCGAAGTACTTCATGAGGCTGTTATTCACAGGCACCACTGAGTAGACTCACAATGCCAAACTTTCATTTAGCAGCTGACCAGGTTAATCACTTGCACCACCAAGGAACTCTAGGCAATATTCTTATACCTTGATTTTTCAGTAAAACAGATTAGTTCAAATTGTTGGCAGTTGTCATAAAATAAGTTAAACATAGAGAAGTGGATGAGGGAGACGTCGGATGGTGTAAGATATGATAAAATAATAATAATTTATGAATTATCAAGGGTTCAGGGGGAGTGGGGAGTGAGGGGGAAAAATGAGGAGCTGACACCAAGGGCTCAAGTGGAAAGCAGGTGTTGTGAGAATGATGAAGTCAACATATGTACTAATGTGCTGGACACAATGATGTATGTACTGATTGCGATGAGTTGTATGAGCCCCTAATAAAATGATTATTAAAAAAATAAGTTAAACATAAGCAAATTGTCAGAATTTAGGTCAGAGCAAAGCTCTCATAGTTTTTCTGACTTTAACTTATAAAACAGAATTCATGATATTAACGGGATGCCAATTAGATCTCCCAGTTGAGCTGACTTTCCCTAAAAGTAGAGATGTTTTAAAAAATACATTTATTTTTATTATATACTTTACATTAAGCATTTCAAGAGAGAGAAAATAATTACAATAGTTTCAAAGTGCTATCCTTACACTTAATAAATAGACTTTATAAATCCCCTCCAATCAATATCTAGAAATGTCTGTAGTCAACTCATTAATAAAATAAGTAAAATAACCATGTAAATATGTTCCAGGGATGGGAATCATGCTGGATCATTTAGTAGGTTATCTTTCCACCGTAAGTGTTTTCTTCAAAACACAATTCACATTGGTTTCAGTTACATATACATCCATTGACTCACTCACTTCCAGTAACTGCTGACTCATTAGCAACCTTATGAGGCAGGATTGAACTGCTCCTGTGAGTTTCTGAGACTATTAACAGGAATTTTTTAAAAGCTTTTCTCCCGCCCCTCCTTCCCCCCCAAAGGAACTACTAGTGGTTTCAAACTGGGGATGTTGTGGATTGCAGCCCAACACAGAACTACAATGCAACCAGGACTCCTTATATATCCATTACAGGAGTTAAGTAGATCATTAACCGCTTAAAACAATTATGTCTGTTGCTTATAAAGAACATTCTGGACCTCCCGGCTGGACTCGCGGGCGGCGGTGAAAATGTCGGTTCCAGGACCCTACCAGGCGGCTTCCGGCCCTTCCTCGGTGCCCAGTGCAACCCCGACCTACGAACAGACGGTCAGCAACCACTACCCTTCGCCTCCAATGCCCATACCTGGGCCCACCATGGGACTCATGACAGGCCCCGACCGGAAGGACATGAACCTTCCTGTGTACTACACACAGCCGGTGCCCGTGCCCAACGCCAATGCCAGAGCCGTGCAGACCGTGTATGTGCAGCAGCCTGTCTCGCTTTTCGACCGCCTGGTCCAGATGTGTTGTCCTTCCTGCAGCAAGATGATCGTGACAAGGCTGTCCTATAACGCCGGCGCCCTCACCTGGCTCTCCTGCAGGAGCCTGTGCCTGCTGGGGTGTGTGTTGGGCGGCTGCTTCATCCACGTCTGCGTGGACGCCCTGCAGGACATGGACCACTACTGCCCAAACTACAAAGCTCTGCTGGGCACCTACAAGCGTTTGTAGAACTCAGCCGGGACGTCGAGGGAGCCATGCACCGCAGGATGTCCCCTCCGGCCCTCGCCCAGCCCCACCATGGCGGAGGCTCAGCCTTGGTGGTCTTTTCTCTCCAGGAGCCCATCATCAAAAGTCACAAACTTCTCAGCCCAGACTTTGCTGCTTAGAGATGCACAGGACATGCAAAGACGTTCCGGCAAGCGCCAGCCCAGGGCCTTCTGCCCCTTGAGACCCCAGCTCACCCCTTCTAACTGGGGTGGTTGCCTGGTCTGAATACCTTCCGGGGGTCCAACATGGGCCGGCTCCTTCCCCTGCCTCCGCGAGTCCTTCTGGTGGTGGTCTCAAGCTGAGAAGTCACAGGTTGCCTTATTTTCTAGACTGTTCTGGCCTTGAAGGGGTGGAACTCGCCTGAGTGTCCACCAGCTTCATCTGCTCCGCCCACCCACCCTGGGGACACAAATCTTGCCATAGCGACTTCAGGGCTTGTCTCTGTCATGTCAGTGCTGACTTTTCATTAGCACACAGAATCACTTTAATTCCTTTCATCCCTCATTTTTTTTCTCCTGCTTGGAATTTTTTATTCTTTTAAAAAAATTTATAATTAAAAAAAATTTATAGTTATCATTTATTTTTAAATTAATTATCTTTTAAAAAATGCTTTTATTGGGGGCTCTAACATCTCATCACAACCCATACATTCCTCCAATGTGTCAAGTACATTTTCACATAT